ATTCTCATGCTATTGTACCAAGTATGACTTTTCCTAATGATTCACATATTTCTAATGAAATTACTTGCAATTCTGAGGAAAATATGTTAAATGAACCTAATCATGATCGAAAACCTGATGTGGTTTGGATAGATGCTGATTTTTCTAACGATCCTACGCTCTGCAGTGACAGTCCTGATGAATTTCATGAGAATATTTCAGAAGAATCAAATCCTGATGTCATATCATATATTACCTATCCTCATAATGTATTTGATCTTCGTGAAAAACCTGCCCAATGCGAAGCACGAGTACTAAGTGACCTCGAGTTTTATTATATTTCGGATGATTTCATATCAACTGCTGTTTACTCTTATCACAAAAACAGTTCTAATGTTTACTCTAAACAATGTGAGATATATGTTTTAAATGAAGCCACATTATTCATAACTTGGGAGTATAAAGATCCAACATTATTTCGTGGGGGGGGATAGTGTTGAAAAATCTATGGTTCGAATTCTAGATATTAATGATTTCATTACAAAACCGACATGCTGGTTGTATACAATTCCAGGTGAGTCTGTTCCGATTTCGTTTGTTAATTCCAATACTAATGAGCACTTTCTAGATACTACAAAGTTTTTATCTTATACAATGTCGGACAGACTCAGGATGAACTTAACAAGAAGACGTACAACCGATTACAAACACTTATACTTCTATTTAAGCTGTGGCGGATGTGGTGTTTGAATTAACTAATGATTCTTTTGTACTTGTTGAATGCTCGATTTCAAATTCTAAATACAATACATTCGTTTGTGCCTGTGTCTTCTTAATTCAATTGCGTTAATCCTGGAATTCCTAGTTCATACGATAATTTGAATACTATAGATATATATATTTCAACAGCAATCATTCATACAATCCAATTGGAGTCAGACATCGAACCGCTAAAGTAATGAGTCCGTCGTTAAAATCGTCTGATATAATTAATGTCAAAATGAAGGGCCACTACAAATTCATACTTTAAGCCAGAGATGAATCGAAGATTACATTTGATGCAAAAATGAAAGGTAGAAATGACAAGTCGCAACGTACAGTAAACCTATCTTGAATATTTTACTGGAAAAATTCAAAATTTGTATGCTCATCAACCGTAGTACAATAATAGTTATATATACTACTGGTCGAATTCGACAAATTTACAATGTTGAATATTTGGAAGAACATCTTCCGATTTTCATGAAATTCTTACCCAAAAATGGATGTCTGTTTTGTATCTGAACAAAAAATAAACCAAAGCCGTATAATAAATTTCTCTTTGTCAAATAAACCATCTGTGAATCTGGACTTCATTGATGACATAGCTGGTATATAGTAAAAAGAGAATATAATAATTTACAGGGAAATCGTTCATCGCTTGGTACTTAAGACTAGTACTTTTCAGCTTCGTGATACTTCCACTAACTGAAAGAGCACACTCGTGTCTAGTCAATTCAGTGCACGTGCCAATTCACCTGCTCTTTGATAACCACGTATATTGATTGTTTCAAACTAGTGTTTTTCAAATCGGTCACGAAACAATATCTTGCTTGACTGTCAAGTGATGCTGATATATCTTTTAACAGTTGGATATTGACAAGCAGATATGCTATTTTATTCTTACAATTTCCTGATCGATAACTTATTATCGAGATTATTTTACGTATATTACGAATTTTCATATTCAGACCTGCCTGTTCCTTTAAGTTCTAATGTATTTTTCTTAATTCAAACACAAAATGCGTGATTATAATATACATTAGGCCAACTAAATAGTTCAAAACAACAAAGGTTATAAATTTTTCATTTGTTTTTTCACCTAATGATAATCAATTTGACCTTTTATACACCCATCTACTGAATCTAACATATTACTGTGGTTTTTGTATGAATTAATGATTCCTTTGTACTTGATTTTTAATTCCGAATGCAACACCTTCCGTTGTGCTTACTTAGTTCTTTTTCGCTTATTTGCGTGATTTTGGGGGATTCTTAGTTCGTATAATAATTCAAATACTTCGAACTATTACAATTACGCATTTGAAAGTATGTGAATATTCAGTTTGTAGTATTTGCTCAAATCAACAAAAAGTATTGTGGAAAAAGGTTATGTTGTTATAGTTTTTAGAGGATTAAATAAACTGGTTTGCGAAACAACACTTCTGAACTTCACCTTGCAAAGTAACGTGCTATATTATTTCATTATTTAAATGTCGGATAAATGAATCCATTACTTTTATATGAATAAGCGATTTGTTCTTAAAAACTTGATTCAACCCTTCAGCATGTGCCAGGAAATTGTGATCTCGGAAAATTTCATTCTAACGTTTTCATATTCTTTGGCGAAACAGGTTGTACTCAATGGAAACCGATAAGAATCCATCAATTTCACTAAACGTATTTTCCAAAAGGTCTTAATCAATGGTTAGAGTTGATTCTAAACAGGATATATATTTTGTAATACCACTGCTGGTGGTATTTGGGATTTCATTTAAACAAACTACAAACTGAAAAATCTTCATGAACTTTTTATGCTGATAATAATAGTTTACTCACTAGTGAGTAAGAAAAGAGCTCCCGGAATTATAGCCATGAGTAGTGGTTTACATCCATATCGCACATGAGGTAGGTATCACAAATAGTAAGCGATGGTAATCATCCACTATTCCAAATCGATGGACTTTGGGTTTATAAATTACTGAATACCACCTCTGTGCTCTAAAGACTGCATTCTATGACTGGTGAAGTCATGTGTAACTACTTCTGAGAACTCCCATATTCCGACTTGACAGCTGTTCAGTATTCCTTTTTTCAATGATTACTAAGCTAAAGATAATCCGTGGTTCAATAAGCTACAACAAAAAGACTCATTGTGCCGATGAAGGCAGAATAATGGCCTTTATAAGAGAGTAAATTTTTCTCAACGATATTATTTACTGAAGCTTTACAGTCAGATTTATTGTGATCTAATAAATACCATAGTTTGTTGAAAAATGGGAAGAGATTACGATATAAATCATTCAGGAATCCCAGTTTTGGGAAAAAGCTCTCGGTTCCTGAAAATTTCATATTACCTTCAGTTGGATTATCATTTATAGATATTTTAAGGATAAATCTCTGTTTTGAGTCACAGCTGTGTAGGTCTTTAAGTTTACTTGGTTTTGTAGGGTAAGTTACATTAGCTTCGCAAAGTAAACGCTTTCCAAAGGTATCCCAGTGCTTTAACTGACGTATCTTTCATAATGAGAATGCAAAATTATCAAAATCTTAATTTCGGATCATCCTGTCAATTCTTTTAACATTACTCCACAAGAATCATCTTTCAATATAATTTTCTCAATTAAACAAGAGAGGTAAAAGAGGGCATAAATAAGAAATTTGCGCATTATTGGGGCTTCAGAGAATATGTTGATTTAAATTTAAGCTTTATGTCCAGAAGTAACACATACAAACTTTAGTTTTGTCCAAGGGATAATAACTAACTAGTTTCTATGGCTTAATAATTAATTGCTGCTCTGCCTGGAGGCCCTCCGGAGGCCACTGCCGGTCCAAAGCCCGGATAAAATAGGAGGGTTGGGCATGGGTGTAGCGACCACATCCCGTAGAAAACTAACTCGCCAAAAAACGCTAACCAGAAAAAATTATTCAAACCTTTTAAACTCTGCCCTGGGAGTCAGAAGGTCTTCATTTAGAAGAATTATGACGCCTCATGATGAAAGCCGAATTCCTTCGGAAGTTACGAGGCCGATGCCCCTTCTGACAACCAGAGCGACCATTTATTTAGGTACATGGAATGTTCGTACAATGTGGGACACCGGGAGAGCCTTCCAAATTGCTGCAGAAATGAGAAGATACAACCTAGAGGTACTTGGGATCAGTGAAACACATTGGACACAAGTTGGACAACAACGACTAACTACAGGAGAGCTCCTGTTATACTCCGGCCATGAAGATGAAAATGCACCACATACACAAGGAGTTGCATTGATGCTGTCCAAACAAGCGCAAAATGCGCTTATAGGATGGGAATCTCATGGACCAAGGATCATCAAAGCCTCGTTCAAAACAAAGAAAGAGGGTATTTCAATGAACATCATCCAATGCTATGCGCCTACCAACGACTACAATGAAGACGCTAAAGATCAATTCTACAATAGGCTGCAGTCAATCGTCGAGAAGTGCCCAACAAAGGACCTGACCATTCTGATGGGAGATTTCAACGCCAAGGTTGGAACGGACAACACTGGATATGAAGACATCATGGGACGACACGGACTGGGAGAAAGAAACGAAAATGGTGAGAGATTTGCAAATCTATGTGCCTTCAATAAACTGGTCATAGGCGGCACCATATTCCCACATAAACGCATACACAAAACCACATGGACTTCACCGGATCACTATACACAAAACCAAATCGACCATATTTGCATCAACAAAACGTTCAGGAGGACTATAGAGGACGTGAGAACCAAGAGAGGAGCTGATATAGCATCAGATCATCACTTGCTGGTCGCCAAGATGAAATTGAAACTCAAGAAGCACTGGACAACGGGGCGGACAATATCACAAAAGTTCAATACGGCCTTTCTTCAGGATACTAACAAACTCAACAAATTCAAGATAGTCCTCAGCAACAAGTTCCAGGCCTTTCATGATCTACTCAATGGAGAAGGAACTACTGTGGAGAGCAACTGGAAGGGGATCAAAGAGGCAATCACTTCAACATGTCATGAGGTCCTGGGTCACAAGAAGCACCATCACAAGGAATGGATCACTGTTGATACACTGGATAAGATTCAAGAAAGAGGAACAAGAAGGCAGCAATCAATACCAGTCGAACAAGAGCAGAAAAAGCCAAGGCACAAGCTGAATACACAGAAGTAAACAAACAAGTGAAGAGGAGCATCAGAACCGACAAACGTAAATATGTGGAAGATTTAGCAACGACGGCGGAAAAGGCTGCAAGAGAAGGAAACATGAGACAACTGTATGACACGACAAAGAAACTCTCTGGAAATCGCCGCAAACCAGAACGACCAGTGAAAAGCAAGGAAGGCAAGGTAATCACCAACATTGAAGAGCAACAAAACAGGTGGGTAGAACACTTCAAAGAACTCTTGAATCGACCAGCTCCACTGAACCCACCCAACATCGAAGCAGCACCCACGGACCTCCCAATCAATGTTGGCCCACCAACAATTGAAGAAATCAGCATGGCCATCAGACAAATCAAGAGTGGCAAAGCAGCAGGACCGGACAACATCCAGCAGAGGCACTAAAAGCAGACGTAGCGGCAACTGCAAGGATACTCCACATTCTCTTCAATAAGATTTGGGATGAGGAACAAGTACCAACAGACTGGAAAGAAGGACTTCTGATCAAAATACCGAAGAAAGGCGATCTCAGCAACTGTGATAACTACAGGGGCATCACTCTTCTCTCAATACCGGGAAAAGTCTTCAACAGGGTATTGTTAAACAGGATGAAGGACTGCGTAGACGCCCAACTTCGTGACCAACAGGCAGGATTCCGTAAGGATAGATCGTGTACAGACCAAATCGCAACTCTACGGATCATTGTGGAACAATCAATTGAATGGAATTCATCACTCTACATCAACTTCATTGACTACGAAAAGGCATTTGATAGCGTGGACAGAACAACACTATGGAAACTTCTTCGACACTACGGCGTGCCTCAGAAGATAGTCAATATCATACAGAATTCCTATGATGGATTACACTGCAAAATCGTGCATGGAGGACAGTTGACAAAGTCGTTCGAAGTAAAGACCGGTGTCAGGCAAGGTTGCTTACTCTCACCCTTTCTCTTTCTCCTGGTGATCGACTGGATCATGAAGACGTCAACGTCTGAAGGGAAACGTGGGATACAATGGACATCTAGGATGCAGTTGGACGATCTAGACTTCGCAGATGATCTGGCCCTTCTATCCCAAACGCAACAACAAATGCAGGAGAAGACGACAGTGTGGTAGCAGCCTCAGCAGCAGTAGGTCTCAATATACACAAAGGGAAAAGCAGGATTCTCCGATACAACACAGCATGCACCAATCCAATCACAATTGACGGAGAAGATTTGGAAGATGTAAAAACCTTTACATATTTGGGCAGCATCATTGATGAACAGGGTGGATCTGATGCAGATGTGAAGGCGCGGATCGGCAAAGCAAGAGCAGCATATTTACAACTGAGGAACATCTGGAACTCAAAGCAACTGTCAACCAACACCAAGGTCAGGATTTTCAATACAAATGTCAAGACAGTTCTACTGTATGGGGCAGAAACCTGGAGAACTACGAAAGCCATCATCCAGAAAATACAGGTGTTTATTAACAGTTGTCTACGCAAAATACTTCAGATCCGTTGGCCGGACACTATTAGCAACAACGTACTGTGGGAGAGAACAAACCAGATCCCAGCGGAGGAAGAAATCAGGAAGAAGCGCTGGAAGTGGATAGGACACACATTGAGGAAAGCACCCAACTGCGTCACAAGACAAGCCCTCACATGGAATCCTGAAGGCCAAAGGAAAAGAGGAAGACCAAAGAACACATTACGCCGGGAAATGGAGATAGACATGAGAAAAATGAACAAGAATTGGATGGAATTAGAAAAGAAGGTTCAGGACAGAGTGGGTTGGAGAATGCTGGTCGGTGGCCTATGCTCCATTAGGAGTAACAGGAGTAAGTATGTAGGTAAGTACTGTAGTGATGGTTAATTTAGACAAGGTTATTTATATCGAAATGTTAACTTCTCTGCACAACTACACATTGCAAGTCGATGAATATTGAAAATAATTTTTCACAAATTAAATCGAATTTAACTATCCTTACACTACTTTCTAATCGTCCAGTTGTTGCTGTTACATGGTTGTTGTTATCATTTACATTTCTCATTTCATTTTCATTTTTGTACAGTGAACAACTATCACCCATACTTCTGATCTGTATACTATCTTTAACTTTCTTTTTCCCTTTAAATGTTAGACTATTATGTACAATCTTTTGTGATATATGAAATTACCGAGCATTTTATAATGTAATCTGTTTTCATTATCTAATCGACTATTATGTTTGTTAGACTACTATAAACACAAGTGTAGAGCTTCAGTAGAAGACATCGAAGCAAAGAAATTTTCTTCCACTAAAATAACTTAGTAATTAGATATCGATGGTCTTCAAATATATGTAAGAAAAGTATATTTAATTCGTCTCTATAGAAATAAATGTTAGCATTAAATTACTGGATTTGAAAAAAACACCGAGAAAACCATCACTTTCAAACCAATAGCAGCAGACTTACTTATTCCAGGATTTTTAAACTAAAGTGCACAAAATAACTACTAACTTAATGATAGAACTATTATTGAAATCTTGTGCACAGTTAAATTGAATTCTTAGTATGCACACCAGCGATGAGGGTGCTATTCAGTCAATTTTTGAGATGATCCTTCCTACTTATCATTCATGTATAAAATTTGAGTGTATCGATTAAACACATCACGTCCACTTAAGCTATCAATCATCTCTACATTAGTATGATTAGCTTACTTATTAAACTACGTTGCAACATAAATTACTTTGCTTCGTTCATTAAGGGCTTAGCTCTAGGATAATCAACAATATCATTATACGTGGTTTGAATACAATGTGTGGTTTGTATAGATAATAGCTAATACTTTATGTGATCTACATTTATCCAGGACTTACTACATAGTGACTTTTAGATTGTGAGAATACAGTGACAATATCTATTATCATTTAATACTTAGATTCTTTTTTCTTACCACATTCAAGTTTTTAAAGTTTTCCCTGAGTATTACGTGTTTATGAACATTTGAAAACATAACGGTCGTATTTAACCATACTCATTAAGCCATTTAGTGTCATCTATTTCTTAAAAATCATCAGCGAACTTCAGATGAAAACTAAGGAATTTTACAGAAGCTCTCCGACGAAAATATAATATAAGGACTAGTCAAACAGAATCAAGAAAACGATTTATTAAGTTATGTAAAGTAAGAAACGAAAATACTTGTGTATAGTGATCGAAACGTTTAAAATAAAAAATCACCTTTATTCTTCGTAGAGAAATGCTCAATTTTCCCATTGTTGCTTCTATATGACAGACATATCAGCAATATCAGTGGATTCTAATCCTTCATCTTGAAACTGACCTTAACCCAATGGTACCAAGTATTCTGAACGAAAAAATCAGATTGAAGACAGAGTCATTTGAACTTTTACTCGAAATCCACTCATCCATACCGCTAAAAAGCATTTCACACTATAGCTGATGTAATTTCTTCGAGAAAATCCTAAACAAGAATAATGTGGAGACTTAGAAACCTAGTTGCATAATTAAAAGGATTGGAGAAAACGTGTAATCTGTAAACACAAAGATGGATTTATATGTCACTGTTTTTTTAAATACTTTACTAGTAGATTAACCTGTGGAAGATCTTAACGGAGTGTGTAGTGTCAGTTATTATGCTAAGCCCATATACCTTATTCTAGCTTTCGGACATCCCATTCTATTCATTCTACTTGAGTCATATTCTAACCTTGTCAATTATTCGCTTATCAGTCTTGACTGTTTTTATATGAGCGTATATGTGTGTGCCCTTCTTATCCCATTAATCACATATCTGTAGCTTTATTTTGTCTGACTATAAATATTGAGTAACGCTTGACTAAAATGGAGTTGGCTTCCCATCCATCTTCCCTACATGTCATTTTGCTTTGCTGTTTCATTCGCTTCATGTACAAAATATATGTATTCGCAAATCAATTCTCGTTATTCCACTTATTTAATTCCGTTATTGGATAACGCGATTTAAGTCGACGATGATATACGAGAATAGGCGATAACAAACATCTATACGATCTTGGAGTCAGATCCTCGGGCCACCAAAAGTGTGGTAATGTATTTAGAATCCAAAATCAGGCGAACATCAAGTAAAAAGGAATCAGTTCATACAAATAACACATGGATTCACTAAATATATGAAATTCGTTTACACTACAATAATTGTTCTCTTTTTCATAAACTAGCGATTAACAAAAACTGTTTTCTAATTGGCTAAGAACTGGTTGTGTTTGTTTATATATGTACCCTCAAAGCTGCTTAAGATTAATTTAGTTATTCACAAGTTCAGGCTAAGTTTATGTGTATAGAAATAGCTAGTTGGACATGCAGTTCTATCATATTTTGCGTTTACGCATTATCAGTAAAAATGTTTCTATTCTGTGTTCCCATTTTATGATGATAGAAAAGTTTTCTATTTGGGATTGCTGACTGAAATCTATAATACATTCCATTTGTTCTGTCTTTGGGTTAAATAGATTTACAATCTCTCTGTTTATCGTAATGACTATGTAGTTATATTATGCCCTAAACATACCCCGACCACTCCTCATGACTATTCACCGAAAACTACTTTGCATATGTTTTGGTTAAAATATATTTTATATCAATATCCCAAAAAATATACAGTATTGTCTCTTGACTATTGCGTTTGATATACGAATTATGTACATGGAACAATGAATTCGCTAGAAACCAATTCTGCTGTAGTTTTGTTTAACACTAAAATCATATTCACTTTCAGTATAGTACAAATATGTTGGATTTTCAATGGTAAGTAGGGACTTTCTTTAAATATTCACAAACCAAATGACATAAGAACTTATCTATTACTACGAAATTGTTTTAAAATGTTACCGGATATAAATGGTGAAGCTTATCAGAAAGTGAAAAAGTAATTACTCAGTCAATGAAAAATTTTTGGTTAGAAATAGATTTATATTTGTCAATTAACCGAATAAACATGTTAGTTCGTTAATTTATTTCAGGTTAATGTGCATAATAACTAGGGGGAAGTAAGAAAAGTCAGTGCAGTAGACCCCATCTAGTCCGAGTTCGACTTACTTCCTTTTCAGTACGTATGTAATCATGGTTCGAAATTCAATTCAATCAGTATATGCATTCCCAGAACTTGGACAATTAACCCATACATGTGCTAAATGTGAAGATTACATTATCTGCTGCAGCTAAACTTATCAAAATAACGACATACAGACGGTGACCTTGACCAGACGAATAAATTTTTAACCCATACAACACATCTCTTTTGCCTACAATTTATCCTTGGCAAATCGCGTGATCAGCCTGATCCCGCTTCATATATTACGTATCAAGGAAAATTTTATTGGTGTATGGCCGTTCAAAATCATTTAATTGCAATCTTTTATGTCTAG